CTAAAAATGCTCGCTATGAATTTGGTTCTCGGAGCCGATTAATGCCAGATCCCTGTGGACTCTAAACTTTGTGTATTTGTGTCAGATGATTAGAAGGAATAGCTCTTTATTCTGTAAGTCGTAACTCAGGGCTATGCTATGCATCCAGCAGCACCTTTCACACTAAAGACTCTCAGAGTCATGTCGTACGAGCAAAACCAAACAGGAAGCTACTGTTCTGAAAAAGCACAGGTAATGTATGTGTTTGCATACGGATATGCTGTTGTTCATCGTGTCGTTATAGAAGTCCCAGGTCTTTGTGCATTTTTGATAAAATACTGATGCACTTTTACTCCCAACCTGGGAAAATCACATTTGTCCTAGTTTTAGATGAAACAAATAAAGCATATTTGGTCAGTTTTAATTGAATAAGAATTTAGTTTGCTTTAAGGCCTTTAGAGAGGCTGACGCGATGAATGATAAGGGATCGGACTGGGTGTCAGTACTACATGTTTTCAGTGCCAGTACAAAGAAAATGAGAAATTATTTTTTAAGATGGAGAGGGAGGAACATAAATGTTTTGGAGTTTTTCCTCAAAGAAATCTCACGATTAAACCAGCAGCTGCAAATCCACACACTAAAATCTGCATCCTGTTTATTATGGGAACTTTGCTCTAGTCTCTGCCCTTTTTAACTCGTTGTGTGATTTCTGTCAGCTGTTAAAGTCTTAAAACAGAATATCACTCTTTCAATGTCAATACACTGCTCACAATTCAGCTATGCAAACTGAGACAAGTGGACATGGCTTGTATTAAAGTGGATGTTATGTGTTTCCAGCTCAATCTACCAGAGTAGCTTTGTATGATTACTGTTCAGAATAATCCTTATTTATCTTACACTGGGCCTTAATGCAGCCTCTTAGTTCCTCTTCTGTTTGAAACGACCAGTTTTAGCTCCTCTCTCATTCAGACCTGGGTTCTCAAAGTACGGCATGTGGACCAGTGGGTGGTCGTATTAACAAGGAAAATTAAAGTACATGTAAAGTGTTCATAAAGCAGCACAGAGGAGAGTTTTAACCCTTCTGTTGTATCTGTCATAACAGACACTGTTGGTGCCAAGAAATATCACCTCATTAAATACCATTAAATTTAAAAACCAGGACAAAAATAATAAACCTAACTATCTAAATGTGTCTGTGCAGCCCCATACTCTTCCTGGTTTAAGACCACCCACTCTTTAAGTCAGCTTTCTTCTGATTGGCCTCCCCTCTGAAACTGCAGCTAGGTGGGGACTCTGTGTCTCAGATGACCAAATTAAGGATATCCATCTTTTGGCCTCATACAGACCTAAGAGTAGAAAAAAACTAATCTTAGTGTCACCACTCAGCTGTTTAGCTCCCTTCCACCTTCTCTTCAAGTCAAATTTCTTCTGATTAGTTGCCCCTCAAAACCTGCAGGTGCCAGTATGACCTTATTTGGCACTTCCTCTCTATTTGGCCTCATAAAGAAACGAGAGTTATAAAAACTGTCTGAAGCAGAGCATCAGAGCAGTCTGAAGCACGGGATTTAAGCTCACGTAGCTCATGTACATATGCTGACTTCATTATTTGAAACCTTGGACATACTTACTATGTACATTGTGTCCTATTATCTTATTTTTTCCCTCATTTCTACACTGGAACAGGAAAAGTTTAAAAGATTGGGAACCACTGGTCTGAACACAGAAAAGTTAAGCTTAGTTAAATCAGAAACCATCTGATTTCAAAGAATGAATTCAAAACATCTGATATTAAAAACCAGCTTTTTCTACACATTTTAACTGGTGCAGCAGGATGGTTGACACTCAGTCCTGTCTGTGCAGGCAGATGTGCCTCTTAGTGATAAACATATCTGGCACATTTCGCACTGTAGTGTGTAGTAAACCTGGATTAGTTGAACCAGTCAAAGCTTTTCCTGTGTTTGAAAGCCATAATTCTGGGATACGTGGCGTCGGCACAGCAAGGCGTGTGACCGTGTAGCTGCAGCTTTAAATCGCAGGTTCTTCACTTTTACTGGCCTTCTGTTGCACATGATTTAACGCTAAGGAGTTCACCTCTGGGTTCGGTGGATTCGATCCCGGTGAGCATTTAGAGGCCTATACTTCACTCCTGAACTAACCTCACAGGGTTTTTATTTCCTGGTTTTTGTACCACAGCTGTACATAAATGAACCTGTCTTTGATGACGGCATGTCTTTCACATCTGTGAGGGGAATGTACTATTCTCCTGATAAAGGGGCGTAAAATTTTCTCACAATTCAAACGTGTACTTGGTGTTGTAATTTTCTTCTAAAGATCTCGTGTGAATACCACCTCCACATTTGTCTCTGATGCTCTTGTAGAGACCGGACGTGTCTCTGTTTCCAGCTCTTGTTTTTGAACTACGGGCATTTTCTGTCTCCAACATGCAGTCTTTCAATTAGTACTTTGTACTACTCAGTATTACCAACATTTTTTTTTTTTTTTTTTTTTTTGAGAAAAACCATAAATATTCTAGGTTTAAAAGCAGCTCGTCTATATGGGTTTTATTTCTCCAGTGTCATCTCAAAGCCTCACTTGCTGCTTTTGTTTTCCTGTCATTTCTGCTTTCACACACATTAAACACCAGTTACGTTCGCATTTATTCCACAACAATACCAAACTGTCATCACCTGAAAGCAGTTCACTTGTTAATTTTGTCTCTGTAGATGCACCTCATACACTTTTTCTACAAACAATGTGCCTAGTTTGTACAGTTTCTCCAACAGCAACACTGCCCATGAGACCAAGACCCTCAGAGATTAACCCAGCACCATCGCCCAGCCAACACCCTTCGATCCATCCTTCCATCCCTCCAAGCCAACTTTTCATGTGGTGAGATTGTGGGAGGAATTCAGGACTTTCTTTCCCTTCAGTTTCTGTTACGTTATGTAAAACGGTCAATCTCACTTGTTTGTGGTTTCCTTGCTAGGACAAAGATCATCACAAGCATCACGTAGAAATCCTGATGTTTGATGTCTGGCTGTAGTTGATTTTTAATTTTTGTTCCACTGTTAATTCAAACTGACTCGGCTACTGCCCATTAGTCTTTGGTGGTGAATACGATGCCTGGTGATAGTAACTGGGGGAAAGACGCAGACGTTTTAATTTCATTGTCATGTTTGTACTCTGAATTTTATGGCTGTAGGCCAGCTCGCTGCAGAATCTCTACACAGAATTTAAGAAATACAACTAATGAAAAATGGCATTATGGACGAGTATGTTCATTATATTGATTAAAGGGGACCTATTATGCTTAGTCCTAATCCAGTCCACTCTGGAGCATCTTCAGGTGGATTGCAGTTCAAGGTAATCTTTATTTACATCATGTTTAGCCTTGATGCAGCAACTCAGGTATTTTAGCTCCCTTTAAGCCCGTTTTCTACTGATTGGGTGCCCCTCATCAGCTGCAAGTGGGCGGGGCTTCTGTGCCTGAGATGACCATATTAGGTATATTCACTTTCTCTGCCATCATATAGACCCAAGAATAGGAAAACAGGATGTTTGCATCAGTCTGAAGCCTGAACTTGTATTGTACACACTCTGACCTCATTATTACAGACTTTGGCCATGTTGAGCATGAACATTGGATCAGTACAGAGATGGCAGACAGACAGGAAAAAGCAGAATCGGTCTCCTTTAATTCACTGTGGAAAATTAATTAAGAAAGAATTAATTAAGAAAGTCAGAAGCTCAACAGATTTTCAAAGCTGAAGAGCAACTTTCATTTTTCAAATCCGAATTTTAGAAAATTAAAATAAATGACAAAAGCCAGAAATGCAATTCTGTTATTTCTGCAAAATGAATTAAAGTATTTTTAAAGTTTCTGCCTTTCATTGTTGTTTTAGTAATGTGAGGTAAGAGAATAAAAACTGGGCGTGCGTCTTCAGGCCACCAGCTGTCACCAACAGCTGTCTAGCTCTCGAGAGAGTTTTTAAAGTTAATGTTAATGAAGTTAATGAAGGTGGTATGCAGTTCTTCACCACACTGGTTTCCAGTCCAACAAGCGTCCACCGCAGGCAGGAGGAAGCACCCAGTCAGCTTCCCCTGATTGGAAAACGTTCAGCTGTGGTGGACAGCTCTTACCAAAACCAAAGTTTGCCCCATTTTTGGCATTTAAATGTTAAAAAAAAAAAGAGGAAAAGAATAATGTGGGTGACGACGTCATTTCTGTTTAGTTCCTCTGACAAAAAAAGAGAGAAATGCAGATCTCTCCTTTGTAGAATTCCTGTTGGCTTCTAAAATTTAAATTTCAAATCAAGGAAATGCACAAATTTGATTCTGGTAGAAAACTTCACAAGACACAGGATTCCAAGACACGTAAAAAGTGATTTAATCTGAGAAAATTTAGAGATTACATGTTCATCTAACATACACAAATATCCTGTGAAAGTGCTCTCAAACGGGAACTCATTTTCTCGCAATGTTAATTTATATAGATTTATGTAAATCCTGTTTACGTTAGAGCGAAATCTTTAGGGTTTATCACAGTTTATCACATTTGTCATGGGTCCCCAACTGTTAAAAAAGTGAGATAATTAATCATTGGACTACAATTAAAAACGACATAAGGATTTATTGGAGAAAACTAAGGGAACAAAAACATGTTGAATGTGATTTTTTTTTTTTGTCTATTTAAATAATTTTCTGAGATAATCTGTAATTCCATATAAATAAATAATGAATCCAATGTGTCAACAAAAATGAAATAAGTATTTTAAACCTGCTTCATCCAGTGTTCAGACTGTGGGAAATGAAATGGCCTCTGAAGCTACGCAATTCCCAAAAACAGTCGTATAGAAAAACCTGAAGCTGTGATATTTACATGAATAAAGTGAGGACTTCTGCAAAGGCTCCATCTGTATTTTATATGTGAGCATCACCTGTCAGTTACAAACAAATCTTCAGAGACACTCCCCCAACAACTCACACCTTCTGTAGGCAATAAAATGTCATTTTTTGAAAACTCTTCTTGTCTGTGCTTTATTTTTGTTTTTTAAAAAAGTCAAAATTCAGGGATACAACACATATTGACGTCATAGCAGTGGGTATTACAAAAATCTTTTTTTAATTAAAAAGTACAAATACACACGTTTAATGCAACAGTAACAGATACAAACTTAAAAAAGTGAAAGGTGTGCAACAATCTTCTTCAGTACCTTCTTCAAATATTAAGGTGGCACAGTTTAAAGGTATTTTTATCAATTCTATCAGAATTTCAAGCATAAAACAATCACATATAGATTATGTGATTTTCTAAGAATTATACCTTTGTCATCAAAGGATAACACTCGAGAAAATGAAACTGTATTCGGGCTGAATACAACAGGCTTGCTACAAGTAATTCAGACTGATGAAGGGAGGAATCGATCTGCCGTGTGATCAGAAGCTAGGTGTTGAAGCAGTGCGTGGCCCAGTGGTTGAGACGGTGTTCTTCCTGTAATTCAAAATAAAAACGATGGAGTTAATAATCAGAATAACTCAAAATAAGCAAATTAGTTTTGGCTCTAAAAATGCCCCCCTTTTGACCGGTAAATACAGAAACTAAGTTAATAGGATTTTGTATAGAAAGTTAGCTAAACATTAAAAATGCCGGTTCTATGAAATGTTCGCATGTATTCTAAAAGTGATAAGTGTATGACTGATAAAAGATTCTCACTTTTGCAGAGTTTTGAGAAGGCCTGGAAACCACTTGGCCTCTGGATTGACACAGATCTTAGCACCAGACCTCACAGTGATCCTGTTGAGAAAGCAGAAGATTCAAAACATTACTTAAAAATGGAGAAATTATCACGCCGCACAAACTTGATTGAAACTGAAGCAGAAACAAAACTAAGACATGAAGTAAAAGTTTCATTTTTGCTCTTAGTTTACAGTTCTGTGTGTCAGCAGGTAACTTCAAACTTGCATCATCATCATCATCATCAGTGCCAGTTATAATACAATAATGTCAAAGTGTAAAAGGGCTTTATCGACATTTACATGGTTCACAGAACAGTGAAAAAGTTTAAAATTACAGTATAAAAGCTTAAAATGAAAAACTCTTAAAGATATGAAGATAAAATACTCAAGTAATAAAGTATATTTCTCAACAATAAAGTACATATAGTACACTTGAGTATTTCAAATGTGTGCATTTTTGTAAGTTTCCACAACATTTCTATAGAAAGCTTTATTTTATTGTGCTCTGCAATCTTTAAAGACACTTTCAATATAAACTGTGATGCATTACAGTAGAGAGTAAAAAGCACCGTTAAAAAACGTGACCTTTGCAAATACTCACATGATTTCAGTTCGGGGGCAGTGTCCTGAAACAGGAGTCACCTCAATCTTCTTGACCATCTTAGCAGAAACAGGTCTCATGGTCGTCTTTCTACAGCGGCAGGTATTTATGGTAAAACCTGAAAAGAAGCATTTCTATTATTTTAGGAGGAAAGAGTTTGTGAAAACATTAAGAAACAGTAAGAAACAGTAAGAAGCCCCAAAGAAGCCAGTAGATGGACTTCGGGTAATAACCTTCAAACACTCAAAACAATATTTACTTTCAATTACAGGAAAAAGTTTTAATAGTTCTACTAATATTTTAATATTTCTACATTTCTACTATTCTTTGTTTTTTATCACTGATGTAAAAATATAAATGCCTGCAATATTTCAATATAAGCCGCTCACCAGGCGCCTGTGGCACTTTTATTTAACTGTGTCATTTGCTGAGTGCTGTAGACTGTAGTATATATTTACTCTTTATCATGCTGCTGTAACATAAAAATTTCCCTTGTGGGATCAATAATTTATCGATCTGTCTGTCTAATGTATTTTTAAACAGAATAACTAAAGTAAGACGATAAATATGAATAAAATAATGACCTCAAAATCAAAGGGTATATTTTGCCCTCCTGTGAGATACCAAACTGTACAAATATTCTGAATTAAAGCAGTAATGTTTTCTTACCATGCAGAGACACGATGCAACAGCAGAAAGTCAGAGCGACCAGCAGGAGCAGTGGCTTGTTCATCTTCGTGATGGTTGTTTTGATCTTTGAGGACCAGTGAGGATGCAAGAGAGAAAGTCTGAGTGAACGAAGTCGAGTGTGGGTTTATAAAGCTGAGAAAGAGGAAGTAAGTTTGGAAACTCTGTGACATTTTCTGTAGTTTTCTGCTCACTGTGCTAAATTTATCAAACACCCCCATTTCGTCACTGCTCAAAATAAAATGTCATAAAAACAGAATTATAAAATAAAATAATAAATATAATTGCATATTATTATATAATAAAAACATGTTGAATTGCATATTATATAATTATAAATGTTATATATGATTACCAATCATGTAAATACTGAGTACATTTAATAGGGGATTTCTTTGATTACTGGATGCTAGCTCCAAATCTAAGGCTGTAAAGATGCTCAGATACACTCAGACACTTCAACGGTTACACCTTGCTAGTATAAATACATAAAGTAAAATATTTCATTTGGCAGAGCAGCACTTCCGTAATTGAGGGCTGTTAACCTTTTCCGTTTCTGCTTTGACTGGGGGAATTTTGTCTCAGCCCCTTAAATTAGACTGCTTCTCATACATGAAAATTAGATGGACAACCCAGAATTACACCGATAAAACTTATTTACGCGCATCTGCTGGAATCAGACTGGGAACTCCTGATCAATCACAAAATGCTTTTGTGGGTCATAAGAGGACCCTAAAGATTCATTTTTTAAGTCTCCCCAGCATGCCGCACTGTGGTTTAGTGTAGAGCTGCTGTAATCAATCCTAAATAATGTTTTGCTTTAGGTTTATTGGGTTTTTTTTACACTTACAATTAAATTTAAATATGATTTTCAAGTGAAAATATCAAGAAAAAAGGAGGGAAAGGAATAAAGGGATCCAAAGCCATTGTTTTATTTTTGGGCTGTGGTTTTGGCCTATGCACATACTTTCCCCCTTCATAAAGTAACAGCTGTGATGACTAATAACACTTCAACATTAAGTAATGCTGAAAGACGACATCGGTCATGACTGAAACTTTCACCACTATATGAGCTACTTGGATAATATCTGCCTCTCTTGAGGGACTTTGAAAGTGGCCTCTGTCTCTGTGCTGGGGATCAGCGTGTCTGAGGGATCTCCTTCCTCCTCTTTTCCTTCCAAGGATTAAAGTTATTTCTTGTTTTACGATATTTTGTGTGTTTACATAAGTTGATGAAGTTTGCACAGCAGGGACTCTTTGTCCAACATTCATCACTGTTAGCAACTTTTTCATTTACAGCAGGGAAGTACCTCTGCACAGGGCTCAGGGCTCTACTCAGTGCCACTTAGTCACGTGACCGCAGGTCGACTAAACACAGTAAAGCAGGAAGCTGCGAGTAGGGGGCAGAGCAAAGTGAGTCTGAATGACATGAACGGTGTTAACTTTAGGTTACTTGCATAAACCTGGTTCTCAGAGTTGCATGAGTGAGATGTGTCACTATGGAATGTGCCTCCCCGCATATTCCTCAGATGCATTTATCTCATTCTGCCAATCCTGATTGGCTGGTGATTGCAATCATTATGTCGGGCAGAGCCACCCACCCTTAAATAGCTTGTGCTATTACATAGTTGTTATTTAAGATAAACACCTCTTGTCGCTTTGCCCCGGCATGAAGGGCTGTCTGGTGAGATGTCTTACTCATGGTACTCTGAGAACCAGGGTTACGCAAGTTACCTAAAGATCTCATTTCTAGCATTCATTTCACCGTCTCACTATGGGAAATGGAGACTCCAGTATTGCCAGACAAGCTTATGTCAAGGACCCAGTGCCCACTACTTGAAGCAGAGACTTCCAACCTGTAAAACTGGACAAAAATGAGAGGTGAAGACCAGCTTGCCTCTGCAAGACCGGCTTGCGGCCTGCAGGCTTGCTCCACCACGAGTGAAGTAAGCCGGAAGGCCGTTTGCTGCCTGCCACCCTATACACCCTACACATATACTATAATCATATGTGTATTGTTTGTGTATTTATACACAAATACTCATATGTATTCGAATAATAATAATAATAATATTAATAATAATAATTAAAAAAGAAAATGCATGAATAAACTTTCTGAATCCTTTATCATCTGCAACTGAAAATAGTTGTGGACGATTACTATACCTTTCTAATGTGACGATGTTGTCTGTTGTTGTTGTCCCTGGCTCTCTTTCTCTGTCTTTCCCTGCCTTCTGTTCCTGTGCTACTGCGAGTACTACCGCCCCCCTCTGCTCAGTGCAAGCACAAGGCTCACGTGCTGAGTAAAGCGGGAAAAAGTGAGAGAAAGAAAAAAAACCCCACTGGGCTCGCGTTGTTCACTTCAAAGAGTCGGCTCTAAGAGCCGTTTTGTTCACGACCGACACATCACTAGTATACAGCCTTTGTAATTCTTCAGAAGAGAAAGGGAGGGGGGAGAATGCAGACAGGACAATAGGTACAAATACCCCAACCACCTAGGCACATAGGTCGGGTTGGGCTTTAGTGACACCCTGTTACAAGCATAGCCATACCTGTTATGTGTCTGTGAGCGCGAGGAGGGAGAAAAAGAGTGGAAAAGTACGAGCTGTCACCGAGCAGAAACGGGAAATGGAAGCATGTAAATATAATAATAACCACTGCAGCCAAAAAGAGTGCGTGACGAGCCCAGTTGTAAGTAAGCTCTTAAGACTCGACTGTACGCTGTGTTCGTGTTTTCCTCCGAAACAAAAAGTTCCGTTGGAGCAGCCTTTCAACGCCTCTCTCTGTCTCTCGCTAGCAAAGTTGACTCAGACAACAAAGTAAAGCTAGTTTTCAGCTACGAGCCCGACACGGAACTGGATGTATTAGCCAGAGGTCTCTTTACGGTTTTACGCCTTTACGGTTCGGAGCCGCGAACCTGTTTTACAGGTGCGGAATAGTTTTCTATACGAGATCGCTGCAGAAAGTGCAGCCTTACCTAATGTCAACCTACTGTTACTCATTTTATATTAAGATTTAAAACCTAGTTGGTATTGGTATGGCAAATAACCTTCAGTAAAAGTAATAGGTCACACAACAATAGTACATTCATGTAGTTGTAAATAGCATGATAATATATTAAGTAATCCAAAGTATTCAGAATACATTACTCTCATTAAGACACAGGCATTAGAGCCATTAAGAGGCTATTGTAATGGAATAGAGTTACTCATATTATGTATTTTAAATATAATTCCGGTACATGTATTCCGTTACTCCCCAACACTGGCCACAATCAGCCCCAGTTTCAGCTGTGGGCAAAAAGGGGTCTGTTCCCAACAGGCTAACTTGGCACATCAGTCATCGTCTGAGACTCCTCATGTTGAAGCGGGTGCAGTGCAGGAACCAGGGGTTTCGATTGCAAGCTGGGCATGTTCCAGCCCAAGGCAACACAAGCAGACCTGGTGTGTGTTCTTACTCGAGACCCCATACCTTGGAGTCTCCGCGTCCTCCAGTATAAGGGAAAGTTGCGATTTTTGCTAGCTGGTATACTAACGTCGAAGGATGTGAGTTAGTTGGCTTGGTAACCTTGGCTGAAGATGAACGGTGGTAGCTGGTGTGCTAAACTGTGCAAAAAGGACCGCCTTACTGGAAGGTAAGTGGTATGACGACCAATCTTTGGTGAAGATTCGGGTTCAGAAGAGACAGGCAAAGGTAGCTAGCACCCAGCAACAGGAAATAGCTAACGCTCCTATCTGTGGAAAGTGAAGTTAACTATTCTAAGAAGGTTGAGATATGCCCTGAAGCAAGAAGAGGTTTTTGAATAACAACTATGTAATAGTGCAAGCCATATAGGCGTTGTTGTTTTAGTAATGTGAGGTAGGGCTGGGCCACATTATACCGTTCACGGTAAAACCGGTACAATGTTACCAACAATAAGAAATTAAAATATCACCATAGAATATGGCTCATTTGCATGAGCGAAGCCGCTGTCTGGTGAGGCTTGCTATGTCCCTTTTGATTGTTAATGGTTAAAAATGTTTTTTATGAATCACAAGGTATAAAACTACTTAAAAAGACACACACACACACACACACACACACACACACAAAGTAACTCGGCCGGAGTGCCTATTTCGGGTCACTTTTGCCAGTCCCAAGTACGGATAAAGGAGGAGGGTTGGAATTGTGACATTAAAAAAACAAAAACTCCACAATGTTTTTTTCTCTCTCCTACAGCGTCTGTTGCATAGGCATGACCTATTATGCAAATTAGGCGATGACATCATTTGGCGACTTCTAGCGACTTTTAGGACAGCCAATCGTGATTTTACTTACTGAAGAGTTGGCAACACTGCGGAGCAATCTGGGTCCAAAACTCCGTCCCGTTCAGGTACCAAAGTCAAACGAACACTGCGGCACACTGAGAGTTAAAAACTTCTTTCATCTTTAATTAAATGATCAGTGTTGCTGCTTTACCAGGTTTAACAATTAAGTTTAAAACAGCAGAACTCTCTGCCTGGGAGGGATGTGAGGTGGGCAAATGAACTGAATCATTTCTTCAACAGATTTGATTCAACCATGAGACAGTCTACAACATCGGCTGCAGACTCACCCACCCCCACTGCTGCTGTTCCACCTCTGACACCTCAGACACTTCACACCTCCTCTATTCACCCTGCTCACTCCTCCCCACCCCCAACAACAGCATCCAATACACACTCAACACAAGGCTCCAGCCTGTCTCTCTCAACCACTCAGGTTAGGAGGGAACTGAGGAGGATTAATGGCAAGAAGGCAGCGGGCCCAGATGGCATCAGCTCGAGGGTCGTCAGGTCCTGCGCGGACCAACTGTGTGGGGTGATGGAGCACCTCTTCAACCTGAGCCTGAGGTTGGGAAGAGTCCCACAGCTCTGGAAAACCTCCTGTGTTGTACCAGTGCCAAAGACTTCACGCCCCAAGGACCTCAACAGCTACAGGCCGGTGGCTCTGACATCCCACCTGATGAAGACCCTGGAGCGGTTGGTCCTGGCTCAGCTTCGGCGCCTAACAAGCTCATCACTGGACCCACTTCAGTTTGCCTACCAGCCTGGCATTGGAGCGGATGATGCCGTCATTCACCTCCTACAT